CTATAGTATCATCAGAAGAGGACGTTGTTTTAAACCCGAATTCTGTTGCTCCAGTAAATTTTAATAATTATTCAAATTCTAATTTTGTCTTTAATAAAAATATATCGCTAATTTGTAAATGTCACGTTTCAACAAATTCAGTAAAGGTGTCAAATTACCTAAGCGTTCAAAAAAAATACAAAGAAATACGGTAATTGTTTTTTCTAAATATCACAATGTAATTTTTAACTACTATTTATACAGGAGACTTTCATCTGCATAATTAAAATTTTTAATTTTCCGGCACACTAGAGACAATATCCGATCCATTATTCTTCATCCCTCTTTAAAAGACTTACTTCCTTCCTCTCAGGATAGTTCCCCGTCCGATTTTATACAGCTTTTGGGTACTCTGCGATATATTTTCATCACATATTTCCCGTTTTTGTTTACTGGTTGGTTTGCTCCTCTGATCTAATCCTAAGCCGTTCCGCCGGTGTTTTGTTTCCTTATTCTGGATATGAAAACGCGTTTCCTTTATTTCTGTTTCATCTGAGCCGTGTATTTATGATACCAAACACAGGCAGGCTTTGTTAGAATCTACTTTACGGATCGTGAAAAGTTTATAGAATAGCGCGCTGGAACGACTTCCTTGTACGTGAGATAAAGCAAATATAGATGTTTTTACTTATTCAATGTTTTCAGTTCAACAAAATGAAACAGGCTTTGAGCCTTGTAGGTGTATCAACTGTTCCTTTCAGCGAATCCATTTCGGTTAAAGCAAAAATGTTCTATCTCAGACGGAATATTGAAAAATATGTTGCTTTGTTGTTTAAATGATACTTGCATTTTATAATGCTCACGGCCATTTTACATCACAAACCAAAAATAAGTAAGTATCAGGATAATCCATATTAATTCTAAAAACTTTCCTAAAATTTTTAAGAAATTAAATATATGTCCTTTGATATCAAATATCTAGAATTTGACTCTATAGACAAATTAATTTTAAACTGTTAAATGTATTTTAATAAAGTCAAATTTTATTTTTCTTCTGTATCTCTCTTGTGAAAAAAGTTATGATTTTGCATCCATTTGAAGTAAAACACATTGTATAACAGTCGAGATGATTGTAAGCCTTCAAATATGGTAAGAAAGCAGCATTGTAACAGCAGGAAGTCTTGACGTGATATATAATATTTTACCATCTAAACAATGTATAAGATATATCTTCTTATTCTGACAGAAATCTGAAGGTACGTTGACCTAAAATGCCGCATGAAATATTTGTATTCCTTTTAATTCTAAAGTTTTAATATTATTTTCCATTTATCTTGCAAGCTTATTTGAATTTCCGTAGTTTTACATTTTTGTTAAAAGAGACGAACCGTGTTATGTAAAAATGCTAATGGAAGTATGCGCCAGCCTTATAAATTATGCATGACTGTTAAAATAAAACGTAAAAGAAAAAAAACCCTAAAATATTTATTTTAAATTATCTACAAAACGTGACGCTAAATAATATGAAGATAAATATTGTACGGTTTAAGACTATTTATAAACTGCAAGCTTTTACTGCATTCCTGAAATGTATAAGAGGTAATTAAGGAATTAAGCTCTTATTGTTGCAAATTATATGAACTATATACACGTATGTGTACATATTTCCATTGTTATGAAATGAGAGGCTGTGTTTTATATACAGTTAATATGTTCAGTGTTGTATTGCACGTATATACATATTTATAAACTATCAGAACTTTACTTTAGTAATATTGCATTTTAATTTAAATATTTTATAAATTTATCCGTCGTAACCTTCCGATATACAGGGTAGCCCATCGAAAACGTACCGCAAGGCATTACAGAGTAGTAAAGAATTTTTCGGCAAAATCCAAAAACAGGTCAAATTTGTTTCTGAGGGGGACAACTTTTGGCTCAAAAAGCATACCAAAATCTTCAACCCCCTAAGTGGGGGTGCTATCCCCTACATTTTTTCAAATGGGAATGGGGGTCAAGTGGGGGGTCATTAGAAAGGGCTTTTAATTCTCTATACATCGATTCTTACTTTTTGAAAATCGATTCATTATTTTAGAAAATATGCAGCTTTGAAAATACGAACAATATTTTTGACGAGAAATGCGAAAATCGATTTAATTTTACTTCAAAACTTACGGTATTAGTCAAGTAAATGCTGAAAATGTTGTCCGCCAACTTGCATACAATGATACAGGTTGTCTTCAAACCGTTGTCGAACATTCTGGAGCACTTGCGGTGTTACTTCGCGACATACATTAATGATTCGTCCTCGCAGATCTTCCAAGGTATCAGGTGGAGTGCTGTAAACTTTGCTTTTAATGTGCCCCCAGAGAAAGAAATCTAAAGGATTTAAGTCGGGTGACCGAGGGGGCCACTCAATTGCACCTCTTCGTCCTATCCAGCGTCCTGGAAACGTCTCATTTAGGTAATTGCGCACATTGAGCGAGTAATGTGGAGGAGCTCCGTCTTGCTGGAAAATCAGTTCGTGTTCATTGTAAGCAGGGTCGTCCTCTATGATATTTGTTAGAGCTGGGTCGATGACATTTTGTAGTAAATCCAAGTACATATCGCCTGTCAAATTTCCAGGAAGGAAAAAAGGACCTACAATGGAATTTCCAAAAATACCTGCCCATACATTCAACTTCTGGGGGTGTTGGGAGTGTGTCTCATGGAAAATCCTTGGATTGGTATCAGCCCAGTAACGACAATTATGGCGATTCACTAAACCATTCAAGAAGAACGTACACTCGTCCGAAAAACACACATTAAAGAGGAAATTATCGTTTATCGCTCGTTCAGTCATTATTTCGCAAAATTGCAAACGACGATCAAAATCGTCTTCATTTAGCTCTTGCACTAGCCGAATCTTATAAGGATGGAATTTGTATTTTTTTAATATTCGTTGGACACTTGTACGACTCACTCCTGTCGCAGTAGCCAATTGCATTGTACTCAGCGTACTATCCATTGCCACTTGCCCCAATACCGCTATTTCCGTAGGTTCATTTAGTACCGGATTTTCAACCTGCCTCTTTTTGTTATGAACGGAGCCAGTTTCGCGAAATTTGGCCACCAATTCGCGAACAATTTTTCCAGACGCATGTTTCTCAGGATGCCGTTGGTTGAACAGTTCGGCGACCCGATTTCCGCATTCATTGTTTTTGAAAAAAAGCTCAATAATTTCTACTCTTTCTGGAATTGAGTACACCATAATTAATCAATTTAAAAGACTCGGCAGTATTGGTACTCTTCAACTACAAGTCACAAGACAGTTATCTAGCAACTTCTTGTGGCCTATCTAAATACGAAACAAAAAGCGGACAATTTTTTGCTCACCAAAATCAGGCTAAAGAATTCGCAAATCAGAAAAAAAAACAGCGAATTCTTTTGAAGGAATTTACCAAGCTAATACCGTAAGTTTTGAAGTAAAATTAAATCGATTTTCGCATTTCTCGTCAAAAATATTGTTCGTATTTTCAAAGCTGCATATTTTCTAAAATAATGGATCGATTTTCAAAAAGTAAGAATCGATGTATAGAGAATTAAAAGCCCTTTCTAATGACCCCCCACTTGACCCCCATTCCCATTTAAAAAAATTTGGGGGATGGCACCCCCACTTAGGGGGTTGAAGATTTTGGTATGCTTTTTGAGCCAAAAGTTGTCCCCCTCAGAAACAAATTTGACCTGTTTTTGGATTTTGCCGAAAAATTCTTTACTACCCTGTAATGCCTTGTGGTACGTTTTCGATGGGCTACCCTGTATATCATCTGAAAGAATTCATTGTCTCGGTCTAAAAAACTATAACAAATATATTCAGTAGCCTAACACACATTGTTACAGGTCGCTTCTTCTTATAACGCTAAATATTTATTACATCTGTAAAAAAGTATTGAGAGACATCTGGAAAGCGTTGAAGCTAAATCGCTTGACACTATTTCAACATTTTCATGTACCATAATGTGACGTTTAGGAAATATGTTAGATTAATGGAACTAAAGTAGAAGTTATACATTCTAAAGGCAAATATTATGACAGGGTTCATGCGATCCTCAAAAAACTAATAGAAGGAGACAAAATTTGTGTAGTAGATAAATTATTTGCTACCTACATTTATCAGAAATTTCAAAGAGGAAATGTAAGGCTATAGGGGTGAGTAATAAACACTGTGGTACTGATCTGGATATTCTGACAGGTCTCCAGTGGAACGAGGCAGGAGATTCTCTAGCTACAGAGTGCTGCCTTGAACTTTATTGGACCAAAACCAACCCTTGGCGTAACTTTTGCTATTGCCAAAGTAGCTCTCCTGATTTGAGAGAAAGAAAAACTGATAAATTGTTGGAGTTATACTCGGGAACTTTAGTGAGTATACTGGACACTACTGGTTAAGATACCACTTACAATAAATCAGGCTAATCAGAAAGAAAAGAAAGAATCAGGTTCTAAACATTCAATTCTTACCTGAGGGTCTTGATAAAGCCACACATGCCAAGTATATTTTATTATATTAGAAAACTAAATCTATTTAGTGAAATGTGAAATATAACTTTAGGAGTAAGCTACAACCCATCAGATTACCGTGAAGCACTGGATTTTGATCCACTTGGTCAATAAGGCGTTCTTACACGTGCTTTTATCCCACATGAATAGTCCAGTTCTATTACGGTCCTGTCCCTGTTGGAGCAAGATTATCTTGGGAAACTGGTTAACACCAATGTGATGGACACGTGATGGCTAACATGCTGATTAGACAGAACTCAAGGAGTCAATTTATGGGACCAGAACCAGTACTGGGGCTTCCACAATGTTATCTAACAAGTTTCGGTAGAAATTAAATCAACAGAAGAATGGTTTGTCTGAGGAACATTGAGCTGGCGCTTATAAATATACTAAATAAAGCAAATTTTGAAAAGACTGACGAGTAGTATGTACACAAGAGATAATGCAATTATTATGGTGAACTGTATTATTTGTTATATTCTTACCGTCAGTTGTGGTGTTTGTTGCTTCAGTAGACGATGGCTCGGTATGGATTTTATCATCTGCTACTGTCCAAGTCACCAATCCCGGCTTCGTGCTTGGTTTAGTCGTTACTAAAGGTTCCACCGGTTTCGCAGCTTCTATCTCATTTGTTGCTGGATTACCATTAACCGTCTCTAAGATTTGCGACACATTAATTTTGTTCACGGGGATCTCATTAGAAACCGTTGTAGTTAAAACTAGTTGTTCTTTTATGGTTACATCTACAGGTTTCTGGGTTGTCTTTGATACAGAGGTTGTGGTGCTTATAGGTTTTACTGTAGTGGTTGAAGCTGGTGCTTTGGTGGTAGTTGTTGTTCGAATTGTGGTGGTAGTAGTAACCTTTTTTGTAGGTTTGGGTGTAACAGAAGGGGGTCTCTTCGTAGGTGATTTAGTTGTCTGTGTTTGAGCTGGCTTTCTAGTTGTAGTTCTTACTGGTTTAGCAGGAGCTTTTATGGGTTTTTGGGTGACTTTTGTGGGTGGAGGTCGAGACGGTTTTGTCGGTTTGAAGGTTGTAGTGGTAATTCTCACTGGTTTAGGTTTCAAGGTTGGTTTTGGAGTTGGTTTACTAGTAGGTTTCACGGTAGTAAGTTTCAGAGTAGTAGATTTCACAGTAGTAGATTTTGTGGAAACTGGTTTAGTTTGTACTGGTTTTATAGTAGTTGTAGTTGTCGTAGTAGTGAGTTTGGTTGTTGCAACTGTTGCAGTGGTAGGTTTAACTGTCACATCTTCCAATGTACTTCCATCTATAACTAGGAATGTCTGCAGTTTTTGTGGTGTAGTTGTTGCCTCTATCGTTGTGCTAGGTAATTTTGTACTAGTTTCTTCACTGGAAGGTTTTGTTTCGTTTACTGGTACCTTGTAATCGCTCAACGTAGGTGCTTTCGTTTTTTGTTCAAAAAGTTCCAAGACGATTGTAGTTGTCACCATTTTCTCAGTTGTAACAACAGTGGGTGAAGTAAGATTCAATGTGCTTGTCTCTACTTTATCATCGACATTTGTACTACTGATTGTCGTAGAAGTGGTAGTAGTATTCGTTAGTCGAAGGGGTGGTTCTCTGTGGGGTATTATGTCAGATTCTATCGTGTTCTCGATTATGTCGTGCACAGGCTCGACTAGACAACACGAGCCGAAATAGAACCTGTCTATGCAAGTTCCTAGGTGGGTGCCGTTCGCCTTCACGCAGTCTATCGCGAACATGCAGACTCCGTGGAGGTTGTTATTTTTCCTAGATATACACGGCAAGTTTCTTATGTTTCTGCCGGTGGTGGCACCTGAAACCAAAATAACAGAGTTAGAAATAATATTTGATACAATTCGAGGAATGATATTTTAAAAAAGTAACAGCGTATCAGCAAACTATTGCAGATTCGAGAAATATATTTTATTTTATAACTGAAAGTCGATAAAGCTAACATTCGTAGAATTATTTTATATTGTTGTACTTGTCTTAATAAAAACACTACTGCAATGTATCGATAAAGATAAAGGTTCCACGATATATGTTCTTAGAAAACTCTTAATTGCTTGTTCAATTTTTTTAAGAAAAATTAAATTATAAATCTGAGATAAAATGAAACATTTAAAGTTCGTAATTGTATTATTTCATAACTTTTTAAGGCTGTTATTGTAAATCGTATACAGTTTCTTCTATGACTGAATATTTCATATTACGGACGAAATATACAGGGTATTCCAGAAATAAATATCAACATTTTAATCGCGTATTTAACTCACAATCAGTGGAGGTTTGAAGAAAATTTATAGAATTTTATATAGAATCTGCAACTTTTGTATTTTAATGGCTTACGCCATTATTTGTAATTTTTTCTTATTTTTAATAACAATCAAATGATTCATTCATTAACATTGACAATCATTACTTTTTTTACCATTAAAAGAACAAACTAATGGGCGCTTTATACAAGGAGTTAATGATAAGTTTTGCCAAACTTTAATGGCGTTTTCTGCCAATGAAAATAATATATAAATTTTTGATAGGACGCTTCCCTACGGAGATACAGGGTGTTAAAAGTTTCAAATATTTATATGATTTCTCCTCTAACTTCACTGGCAAAAAATATTTAGTGATAAAATTTGGGGGACGACATTTTTTTAGTAGGGATTATTTTTTTATTGGATAAGTTATTCCAAGATACACTCCAGTGGCGTAGTTATTGGGGGAGTAGAGGACCTTTTTTGGAAAAAAATCGTACGCCACTGGTTCTTTAAATAATTTTAAATGTTATTAAAATGTACAATCAATTTGTGGCAATAAAGTATTCTTGTAAAGTATTCGTAAAATATACTGGTCTTTAGATAATTGGAAAATTAAATAAGAAGATACTTAAGTACCTACGTTGCTGTTTATCATTTTCTGTTGATTGCTAAATGTGTAACAATAAATTCAATACCTAATATTTTTTAGAGATTTCAAAACACTATACAACGCCACTGTTTTGTGTGTGGCAAAAAGTTACTATTCCCCCGACCTGAATCCCTTGGATAATTTTTTTGGGGCTACCTCAAAGCTATGGTATATCGTACTTCAGTTCCCAATGTAGAAGTACTACAGCGCATTGTAGAGGGTTTCGCAACCATACACAAAACAGCCGGAATTATGAGGCGTGTAAAGCTATGGTTTGTTAGAGCTGTAGGCGACGCAAAGCAGACAGTCAGTTGTGCGCGTCGGACTTACGTTGGAATCTAGTACACAAGAAAATGCGTAGCTGGTTTGTTAGAGTCTGCTTAGGTGGACTCACTGTAGGCAGAAAATTATGTGCGTCGTCGGTTCAGTCGAAATCAAACTGGATTTGATTTCAACGCAGTCGTTCAGTTAAGCTCACAGTGTACAGTGCTAAAAAAGCATTTATTTCTAACCAATTTTAAAATGGCAACCAAGTTTTCACCAGAGGAAGACGAGAAATTAATCGATCTCGTACGAGAACATCCCCCATTGTATACCGTCCCTTCCAAACATCTGTTAGAAAACATTCGATATTCATTTTTATTTTGACGACAACTAATCAAATTTAAAAGATCTTTTTCATGTTCTTTTTCAGTAAGTATTGTCAGCAAAAAATATTCAACCATTGTCTTGAAAAAAAAAAAAAAATTGCCAAAATAATAATAAATATTTTCGTCTACACTTATCAGCATACAATCACAAACACTAAAGCTATGGTTTGTTAGAGCTGTAGGCGACGCAAAGCAGACAGTCAGTTGTGCGCGTCAGACTTACGTTGGAATCTAAAACACAAGAACAAGCGTAGCTGGTTTGTTAGAGTCTGTTTAGGTGAACTCACGGTAGGCAGAAAATTATGTGCGTCGTCGGTTTAGTCGAAATCAAATTTGATTTGATTTCAACGCAGCCGTTCAGTTGAGCTGACAGCGTACAGTACTAAAAAAGCATTTATTTTTAACGAATTTTAAAATGACAACCAAGTTTTTACCAGAGGAAGACGATAAATTAATCGATCTCGTACGAAAACTGCCCCCATTGTATACCGTCCCTTCCAAACGTCTGTTCATTCGATCTTCACTTTTATTTTGACGACGACAAGTAATCAAATTTAAAAGATCTTTTTCATGTTCTTTTTCAATAAATATTGTCAGCAAAAAATGTTCAGCCATTGTCATTTTGCCAAAATAATAATAAATATTTTCGTCTGCACTTATCAGCATACAATCATAAGCATTAAATCTAACAAAACACCCTCCTTCAAAACCGATAAAGTTGAACGCTACAGATTCTGCTAACCGCGTATGTCGTCTGCGACGTACAGTTCTAACAAACCAAAGCTTTAATCTAACAAAACACCCTGCTTCAAAACCGATAAAGTTGAACGCTACAGATTCTGCTAACTGCGTATGTCGTCTGCGACGCACAGTTCTAACAAACCAAAGCTTTAGACGATCAATGCGGAGACGCTGCGCGCTGCACAGCATGCATTGCATCAGTACAGCATTTTGAACATTTCTTGATATGTTTTATAGTGTAAAGTGATAGAATAATTTGGAGATTCGGATTGGGCGACCCAAAAAACATGTAAATATATTACTTCAGTTTTCTGAAGAACTTTTTTAATTTTAGTACTACTGTTATGAAAACCTAACTTCATTCAATGATATCTCCGCGAATAAAAAATATTTTTCAAATCTGAAAAAAGCATTTTGAAGGGTAAGAGTGGTAGTTTTTGAGGGTCTGATTCGTTTTGGAAAAAAAATCGCTCTGTGATATAAGCTCAAATAAGTATAGCAAAAAAAATCGTGTTTTTTGCACTTTTAGATTAGGATATCTCGGAAACGTGACATAAAGGAGGAATTATGACGCCGGATTCGGATTCTGCATACCAAAAAAAATTGCTGAATAATTTTTATCAAACTTGAAAACGGAATATACAGGGTGAGTCAGAAAGAATGGGTCAACAGTAAATTGGAGATACTAGACACCAAATTTTATGTTTGAGCTCATCATGCATTATACGAATGTCGGTGGTTTAAGAAATACAGGGTGTTTAAAGTTTCAATTTTATTTTGAAATTTCTCAATAATTCAGAAAGTTTTGATAGCATGACTCTGAAAATTGGTAGTGTTGGGTTTTTTGGTGTGAGAATTACGAATTTGAAGCTTATTTTGATGTTGCTCCTAGAGGGCGCTAGTTTCACCGTATTATTTAGGTAAATCAGAACATATTTTTTTTAACTGTTGAGCTATGCTTAAAAAAATTAAAAATCTAAAAGAACGTTCAATTCTACATTAAAAATGTACTCTAGTTTAAGTCGCCTAACTTTATCGGTTTCTAAGTTATTTGCTTTTAAAAGTTTCAATGTATTTTGTGGTGATTTTTTACTCTCAAAAGATGAAAATAGATGAAATGAAAGAATTATTGATAATAGTAATAATAACAAACCATAAATCAAATGCTGAAAGCTTCCACCAGCTACCTCAATACATTTTATTTTACACCCTTAAATGTCTGAATATTAAACAAAATGTCCCTATTATTTTTAAACGCATTCGCGGTTACTTGTATTTTCTGTCGCAACTCCTCAACAGAATCAATTTCTTCACGATACACCACATCCTTCAAGTTTGACCACACTTAGAAGTCCAGAGGGTTTAAGTCTGGACTTCTTGGTGGCCAACTAAATTCATTCACACGGCCAATTCACCAAAGGTCCTATGAAAAAAACAAAAATTAAACCACACCAAATATTCACTTTGAACTTATGCTGAAAATTACTATCTTTTACAGCATGTGGAATCTCACAAATGATTGTTCTTCGAATTGAAAACTCCTCGTCTAGTAAATGTCGCCTTATCAGTAAATAAAATCTTATTGAGGAAATTTGGGTTTTCCGTTTGCATATTTTGTATAAACTGAGCAAATTGTAGGCGAGCTGGTAAATCTTGAGACAATAACTGAAGAACCGGAGTATAATGACATGGATGGAACATTTCTTTTTTCAAAAATTCTACAAATGGATGATTGGCTTACCCCCGTTGCCACACTTAACCCACGGGTACGAGTAGTAAAATTTTCTCTTCTTTATCGACTGTGATAGATTTTGGAGTACCATGGTTACTTTTTGGTCGAAAAGATCCAGATCCGTCTAAGCGATTGCAAAGATTTCTGAATAGTTTATAATTAGGTAATTTGGGTACAATTGCACATATCTTCGAGCCGCCGCATGTTCATTAAAATTAGCCTAAGCAAAAACACATATCATGCATCTCACTGTTAGAAAAATTATTGTCATGGCATTTTTTGGTCACTAGCTAATAATTTTGCACGAATAATAAATCAGACGCACGCAAAATACGTTAATATTTATTGACATGAAAATTTGACACAAGCCTACTTAGAAAAGAAATGGCAGTATCAGCGCCTGAAAGAAAATCACCACAAAATACATTGAAACTTTTAAATGCAAATAACTCAAACCGATAGAGGTAGGCGACCTAAACAAGAGTACATTTTTTATGTAGAATTGAACGTTCTTTTAGATTTTTAACTTTTTTAAAGCATAGCTCAACAGATAAAAAAATATGTTCTTATTTACCTAAATAATATGGTGAAACTAGCGCCTTCTAGGAGCAACGTCAAAATAAGCTTCAAATTCGCAATTCTCACACCAAAAAACCCAACACTACCAAGTTTCAGGTTATTGAGAAATTTCAGAATAAAATTGAAACCTTGAACACCCTGTATTTCTTAAACCAGCGACATTCGTATAAGGCATGATGAGCTCAAACATAATATTTTGGTGTC